CGAGGAGGGAAATAACGGCCACAGCCCGCAGCAGACGCAGGCAGAGCTTCCGTATTCCCCGCGGCCGCAGCTTTTAATTGCCCGCTTGCCCTGAATTCGCGGACCAATAGGGCGCGCGCCCTCGACTCGCGCTCTCGCTGCGCGCACGCGAGGGAGCGGTCTGATTCTTTTGTTTCACTGCCCGCCAACGGCGCACACAATGCGTTGCGGGCCGATTGCTGGCACGATGGCCCGAATTGCGGAAGGTCGTACTTCGATTCCCCCGCGGGTACCCGTTCCCAATGCCTATGTGTGCGGTGAGATTATTTTATGTTTACCTGCAATGGATCAAGTGAAGAACTACTCCCTTCTTCAAATCTGGCATTAGAGCTTCAGTATTAAAGTAACTATGACAATATATCGTCATTGCCCATATCTTGATCGACAGACCGCATACAGATCCCGAAGTGTATTTTTCCAACCCGCCATGACTTGGAAGAATCAGTGAAATCCATTTTGTCTTTATAGAATTTTGTACGACCCGGAATAAATTGAATTGTTATATATATAACCTATAAAAAGTTGCAATACTGGTAAAAGTGTTTAGAACCGTAATATAATATACATTGTAATAGTACCCGTTACCTTTATATAATAAACTCGTTTTTTCTAATATTTACTTATTGTCTATACTGTTATAACACGTACGTTTACTTCATAGTTTTCCTGAGAGCGCAAGAAAGTGTTCTTTGTTTTAACCTGCACGGAATTATATCGAGTTTATTCCTTGAACAGTACGTATTCGACATTTTCAGATTTTTAGATTTTTTGGGATTCGTTTATTGTATCATCATTTCAGGGGTATCTTGATTTTAATATGTTAATGTAGAAATAGGGCATGGTCACTTGGCCCTAACGCATTGATTTCTCCAAGCCGATCCACAGCCTGCTACTGTGTAGACTGCTTTTTTGCCACTGTGGATTGGTCATCCAGAGATTACTCAGATGATGTTGCAAGATGAGAAAGCTTCGACTGTTTTGTTTCGCGAGCACACTGAATTTTCGACAAATGACGATGCAATTCGTGCGTTCATGCTTGTGAACTTAAATTTGTCGAACTGAAATGACTTGACTTTTATGAGTAACATAATGTGAAAAATAATAAAATGAAGAAGAAGAATGCGGGAGGAGAAGAAGTAGGAGGAGGAGGAGGAGGAGGAGGAGGAAGAGGAGGCGAAAGAGGAAGAGGAGGACGAAGAGGAGGAGGAGGAAGATGAAAAAAGATAAAAACAAAGAGGAAGAGACGAACTACGTTCGGCACTCGATAACAGATGATTCCTCCAACTCTCCTCCCTGCTTGATGAAACAACAGCGTGCACGGATCCACTTGTTAACCCGAACAGTTCTAGTCTTTGTGTCGCGCCGCCAGCCCGTCCGTTCCGGGGCCAAACTCCGGAGCTCATCTTCGGCCACGCCCCCCTCCCCCCTCCTCCTCCTCCTCGCGGTCTGTTTCGTCCGTATCAACCCACCGGCCCATCGCCCCTCTCTCTCCCCCTCTCCTCTCGCACCCGGCGGCGCGGGAGCACCGTTCCAAAAGCGCTCCTGGGCGGAAGACGCCTCGGCAGCGGAGAGGTCGCCCACGCTTGGGCGGCGGAGGGAGACGGGAGGGCGGGGGCGGGGGCACCCACCTCGTGAAAGTCTTCATCCGGGCCTCCACCGCTTTGTGGCGCAGGCAGATCCTGGTGAGCGCCGTGCCGATCTCCTTTGTGGCGCCTGCAACAAAGGGGAGACGCTGCAGTCAGAAGGCCGTGGGCGCGGGGGCCAGGCGCACTGCGGCCCCGCCCACCGAGTGCCGCCCCTCGCGACTGTTCTAGGCGGAATGGAATGAATGGCGCGGGGGCGGAAAGGCCGTGATAATAGCACGGACAGAATCAAGGCATCAAAGGGTTAAAACATGAAACGCTTCACCGAAATGTTTTCTGCTCTCAAAAGGAACAAATTGAGGTTCTACAAAAGGTGTTATAAATAACTAATTTTGCAGTATGCTATGGCATTTTTATTGTTTTTGCTTACATCTTACTAGTGAATATTCTTTCCGGAAAATATTCGTCACATTTGATGCGTCACAGAGAACTAAATTATTTTTATTTAAATGTATATAAGATTATTTGATAAATTATAGTACTGTTATATTGAAGCAGATTATGGTTAGTTCAGGACTGGCATTTAACTGCGTTTTTAGCATCATATTAAGGCATTAGATAAAAAATGCCAAGGACGTCATTCTATCAAGATATGAAACAAAACATCCATTTGGAGAATATCTACTTTTGGCAGATTGAAGGGGGTGGGGGCCTAATTTATCCGCTTCCCGTACTTTCAAATGAACCTTCATCTCCATCTGTACACGGCCCGAAGGCTTCGCAATCGGTAGCGAAGTTTAGGAGCTTGAATAGAGAAACATTACATATTGAGGCCAAAAGTTTTAATTTGCTTCAGTTTATTTTATGTGCGATTATTGTTATGTACGAAACATTCATGCGCGCGGGCATACATATACGTACGTACGTACGTACACACACACACACACACACACACACACACACACACACTTACACCAACTGCGTTTTATGGAACCTATTACAAAAAATTAAATGTATTCTCCCAGTGTAATTCTAATTTACAGTCCGAGTTACTAGGACAGTGAAAATTCGTTTTACTTATGGAAATGAAAACCTGCCATCAGCTGTAATCCTCTTTAAGAACACAGGCAGCCAAAGAGAGATAGAACATTAGCATTACCGGACAAAACAAGACTCTTAAGACTTTTATAGAATCAGATAGGCGTTCAACATCAATTTCTCAGAACTGTTTGACGCTCTACTTGAATAGTTAGGAGACAAATCGACATTAAAAATTAACATTTGCCCTAAAAGTATTACCATTAGTCAGTGGTACTCCAAGACTTGAGTCGACAAAGTGAAGGCGGACATTTCCAAACATATAATGGATGTTTCGAACGCAAACTATTACGCAGCTTTAGCCCATAACAAAGAAAACAAGGTCCTCATTCCTTCTAGTTAACGTGGACGTAGAGTGGCTGCGTGATGAAGACAACACAAACCTCAAGTCAATCCAACGCACTCCCGAAAAACAAAAATCAACGCCCGCCGTTTACGAGCCGTCGCAGCGCCTTCACGGGAAGGGAAAAAACGATCTTCAATTCTTTCGCTGGGGGCGCCTTCGCTCAACGACACCCGTGCCGACGTCAGCGCCACCGCCGCCGCCACGCGCCGCCAGACGCTGTTATCGCCCTGCCCCCACCCCCCTTGCTCGGACGATGGCAGCAGGGGCGGGGCGGGGCGGCGCGGGCAACAGGGAGCAAGTGGAGTCAAGTGGCGAGGCGCTCCACGCCCTGGCGAGATTCATAAATCCATCGCGCAAATCGCGCCCTCCCTACCAGGCCCCAAACACTATACTTTGGAGACGTAGACAAAATGCACGTTGCGGAGGTGAACAGGTGCGGGGAAGACAGCTCCACAGTTTCGGTATTCCGCGAGTAGCGAGCGACCGCTCGCCGAATCCCGTGTAGTGTGGATAGGGCGCTTGCTATTCGCCGACCGACGAATATTCGGTGATCACCCTACCCACCGAGAGTCGGTATTGGTCGGGCAGCTGCTCGGGATTGGACGAGCTGTCGCTCGCAACTTGGCGAAAAACGATTGTGTGGAGCCGCCTTAACGTGCAATAAATACCTAACCGCTTCTATCAATAGGAAAGGAAAATAATTATTTTCATCAATTCTTTACATATCATTGTTAACATTTGTACTGTATTTTTAAAAAGGATTAAATAAGCCTGAAACAAGTATTGTATTTCGGGATCAATGACCCCCAGCTCGGATGGTGGTTTAAGCGCTTATATATTCAGGGTAGGGCCTAGAACCAATTCATATTCTCAAGAAAATCCGGATCCGGTGGGTTTTATTCGTTGTAGTTTAACCCACGTGGTACGATTTGTGGTACGATATGTGGCTGGCACGTGCTCGGGCAAAACTGCCACGCATCCCGAACAAGCATGCCCATGTTTGCAAATAATCCTGGCCTGTTATATTAGGGTATTCAATGTAACTCAACACAAGAAACTACGCATAAGTAACAAGACATTACAACATAGTAAGTTTCTAAGTACATTCGAACGTATTGACGAAAATCCTGCCACCGTCGGTACTCGAACCCTGGAGCGACGCTGCAGAGACAACGGCACCGCTGCCCCGGAGCCCAATCAGTCGGCCGGTGGTTACGGAATCGCCGGAATAAGGCATGACGCCTTGGGGCCGCTTGCGACGGCGAACTCCGATGTGGTGAAAGTGGGCGAGCCCCCCGCCTGCCGCTTGATGGAAGGGGAGGGGGGCAGGAGAGCAAGAATAAGAATTACGGCACGATCGTAACTCGGCACTAGGTGCGGAGCGTAACCTCGTGTAATGAGCGGGGGTCGGAATCGCGGGTGGTGCTGTGGTCACCCGGAATGCAATTTAGCCAACGATGGCAACGAGTGCGGTTGAGAAGGGCGGTTTAAAAACTTTATGGAACATTGAGATTGAGGTTTACTAGAAGGTCAAAACAGAAAAGACGTATATAATGCGTAAAATAAATCGATATTCTAAAACGTCGTGTTTCTTCGAACATACACGACACGTGTACTTTCGTGACAAACTACAAAAGTTGGCTCTGACTTTGTCGAATCTACGCCACAATGTGTTCAGAAGCTCAAAACAGCACAAGGAAAATACATTAAGTCATTAACGCACAGTAGGCTACTATTATTAGACATAATAATAAACGTTCACAGCTAAGTTGAATCGTCCTGTGCAAATTAATTTGCACACTACTGTGTATTACTAATTTTCCAATGCCCGCAGAAAACTACACAGACTCCGTGTGAAGTGTCTAGGATTTCGTTTGACACCCAGCAACTCGGAACAATCCCAAAACAATGAAAATGTTTCAATTTTGCCTGAAAAATTTAAACAATTGATTGTGATATTCCACCTATTCTCATACTGCGCGTACTGACCTCATTCGTACTCAATGAGACACTGCTCACGCCACAGTTGACATCATGAAACAGCAAAGCTCAAAGGAAGAGGACACCCGCCATTACAAAATTACTATTGACGAGTTGCATGTTATAGCAGCGTCATTTTTTATTTTCTTGGTATGTAAAGAACTCTCTATACAGGGCAAATTTGCCTGAATTTCCTATTAATTTCGAATGGAACAATTGAAAGTCAAAAACCTTCTAAAATCAACATTTGATCATCGATAACCGCAACTGCTATTGGAATTTAGAATAAAGCATTCTCGCGATTCGAACGCAATTGGCGGCTCGATTTATTCACAGAGTAAACAAAGCGGGACGCAATTACGTCGGTTTGGCTTCCGCATTACGTGATCTGCAGCGCGTTGAAAAGTACCTGCGATAACCGTTGCGATTGAATTAGCGAGATGCGAAACACGGAAACTGCTGCCAAAGAGAGTGATTGCAACATGCCACTCAAAGGGCTTTAACAACACGATATCATGCTTTAATTCATTTTAAAAAAACTTGTTCATTGCAGCAGCAACGGTCGTATCTACGATCATTTGCATATCTACTTTATGGCAATAAATGCGAGGATAAAAATGCGTAGTTCTAACCACCAAATTTATTATTCATTCACTGTACTTGTAACTTTAGTAAATAACTTGTATTTTGTTACACAACGCCAATTATGAAACACCAAAGTAACTGTTTTATCAATTAAAAACCATGAATTAAATGAAATGACTTTGAAAACTTAAAAATAGTATCTTCTTAATGGGCATTGTAGAATTTTTATTAGTAAATAAATATAACCGTTAACTTTCCCACGCTAAAAACATTTTGGTTCTTTATCAAAAGCCGGGAGCGCGAGATGCAAGGAATTGAACGTAGTGAAAACATGCCCTTCCTTGCTTCATTAGGTCGGATAAAAATGTTGGCTTTCAATAGGTTATATTACGAATAATTTCGAAATTCTGTAAGTAACGTTGCACGAGAAAAAATCGTTTTGTCACTGCCTTTTTACTATTCCTAAATGTGAGGTACGCTTTTAACAGCGATTATACTGATCCTTGATGTTTTATTTAATTGGATTTCTCATTCCATTCTCCCAGATGAAGACGAAGTTTCCTCCCCAACAAAATAAAATAAAAAAGGAAAGAAAGAAAGGGAAAGGAAAGAAAGAAAAGAAAGAAAGGAAAGAAGAAGGAAAGAAAGAAAGGGAAAGAAAAAGGAAAGAAAGAAAGGAAAGAAAGAAAGGAGAAAAAGAAAAGGAAAGAAAAAAGGAAAAGAAAGCAAAGGAAAGGAAATAGAGAAAAGAGAAAGGAAAAGAAATGAAAAGAAAGGAAAGAAAATGAAAGAAAGGAAAGAAATGAAAGAAATGAGAAGAAATTAAAGAAATGAAAGAAATGAAAAAAGAAATTGAAAGAATGAAAGAAAGGAAAGAAATGAAAGAAAGGAAAGAAATGAAAGAAAGGAAAGAAATGAAAGAAAGGAAAGGAAATAAAGGAAAGGAAATAAAGGAAAGGAAATAAAGGAAAGGAAATAAAGGAAAGGAAAGAAAGGAAAGGAAAGAAAGGAAAGGAAAGGAAAGAAAGGAAAGGAAAGGAAAGAAAGGAAAGGAAAGAAAGGAAAGGAAAGAAAGAAAGGAAAGAAAGAAAGAAAGAAGGAAAGGAAAGAAAGAAAGGAAAGAAAGGAAAGAAAGTAAGGAAAGAAAGAAAGGAAAGAAAGAAAGGAAAGAAAGAAAGGAAAGAA